AAGTGCATACCAAAGGACGGGATGACTTTGGTCAGTTCATCCAAGACTACTTGCGTCTTCTCCGCCTCTTCGAACATGAGAACGATGTCGTCTGCATATTCCAGGTCGACAAGCTTTTCTTCACAGGCTATTTGAACACCAGGGTTTTGGAGACACCCTAGCGTTCGTCTCATTATTTCATCGATCACAAAGTTAAAAAGGAATGGAGAGAGTGGGCGTTCCTGACGGACACTGCTTTGTGTACACAGGCTTCGGGACAGCTCTCCGTGCACTCTCAAACGTCCGGAAGTCTGAGAATATAAAGAACGTATTATGTCTAAAAACTTCTGGGGCATTCCTTGGTGGGTAAGCGTCTCAAGAAGAACAGACCAATGATGCACACACAGAGAATTACCACACAACGACGTCACCCCAACCCACTTGTCGTTAACATTTCGACTGATTCAGCACATTTTTCAGAAATCAAACAGAGAAAGCGGAGTGCGCCGTTTCCCTAATCCTGCAAACAACATGTTAGATGTTGAAACAACTTGTCCTCCAGTGTTTCTACTTGCACAAAACTTTCTTTTTTTGCTGCCAAAAACAAACTTCTCTGGAATGATGACTACTCAATCGTCCCCAAACATTTCCACTTAGTTGAGTACTTAAACCTCATTTTTGGCCTATCATTAGCGTTTTTTGGTCAGTATCAGACGATCAACAACCCATGAGTGGTAAATGAACAATAACTATATGGTGAATAGGCCTAAAGATGGGAAACGTGAAACTGAATGGATTCGACTCGACAGTGGTCCGCAGTCTAAAGTTGTTCAAATGTGTTGGAGAACAAACCCTGTGTGGATAAAGACAGAACCCCCTTGTCTTGTCACACAAAGATACAACTTATAGGATATGTTTGTTTACACAAATGAGGAAAAACAGTGAAACCAAACCTCTAACGAGCGGCGTTTCTCAATATTGTGATCAATATTTTAACCATGATGTGATGGACAGAACAGCATATCTGGTATTGCTGTAGATGGCACAATGTAGAATTTGTTGAGGAGAAGTCCTGATGAAGTGATGTGCTACTAACGCAAAGATTCTTTCAATGAGTATTCTCAAGTAGGAGCGATTTGTTTTAGTTCAGAGCGACCCGTTGTGATTTACGACTATACGGTCACCAGAATCCAACCTATTCCGCATCACCCAATAATCACAGTAGCCCTTAAAAGAGTGATATTGACGACCAGGGGATACCCCTCACTTAAAAGAGTGAACACATATTCCGGTCAATCTATTGATTTACTCGGTTTCATTTATCTCAGGCAAAGAATGAATCTCGTTACATTTCTGGCGTATCAGGTTAGGAATATCCGGTTAATTGGCTCGTTAGGGAAAAAGCTGTCCTGTTCAAGGAACCTATTTTAGAAAAAAGGAAACGGAAATTCAGACAGGTAAACAAACGCAACCCAAGTGATCTTCAGCGTACTCAATCATGCCCTCTGAGACGTAGAGACTGAACCTTCCTGCGGTATGACTGGATGTGTGCGCACATGACCCGCTGTGCTGTACCAGGGTGTTCCTGAGTCAGTTCCCGAGAGTCTCTCATGCCAGGTTCGCCTATGGGTCAAGGTCTGACCAACACAGCTGGGGATGGAAAGATTTGTAGCGACTGACAACAGGACAAAAAGCTGTCCTCGCCCTCACACTGGTGTGCCGTGTAGCAAAAGCAATAATTAATTGTACGGCAGCGAAACATCCGTGCTGAACACTGATGTGACGCTACCAGTCACTAGGATTATTACGTGAGACATGGGGGAACTGTGGTATATTTTATGTCAACCACACGGTTCAGTAACAGGTTACAAATAAATTCCAGTGATGTCAGGAGGGGTTAATTCCGTAATAAGTTATTTTTGCCCTGCTCTGTCGAGTTCAGTCATACTGTTCACTCCAGGGAGATATATCAATTCAGATAAAAATTCGTTAAGCACATTAGCCGGGGGTATTGACCTAGTCATGATTTGTGTGCACACGCAGTCGTTTTAATAGCCTAGACTTGTCCTAACCGTTTACCTGCAATGACACTAGCGTATTCTACAAGGATGACTCACCATCCGTGTTGATCTTCACTCATTCTCAGTATGCAGGTTGCAGATGCCTGAATGCATTCGTGTAACAATATGGTCAGAATATCATCGGTGAAGGCCACTGTCCTGTCGTCCATTTGATCTACCTATTCTTGAATGAATGTCCATTTGATGCTTCGGTTGACTTTGTAAATGAAAGTACTCGTGTAGAAACATGTGTCCTGCAATAAATCGTTAAAGCCTTGGTAATTATTCATCAACTTGCAGAGTAAAAACCATGATTTCGAGTGATAAGAATGTATGCTCATCGACCATGCCAGATGTTTAAGTTGTAAATGTAGTGCACTACCATCTAATTCACCAGTTTCTTCCACCTGCATCAGGGTTGCATCCGCGTTTGTTTCTCGTTGTTTTGTTTTGATTCCGTTCGCGGCAAACACATCCAGCAAGATAGGAACCCTACAAAAGAAACAAAAGAGTTAACAATACTCCGTCATTCACATCGCTGTTGGATTTGTCTTGTGTAAACATTTCTAGACGGATTCTCAGCGTATATGAAGAGTGAAAGCGTAGGCAGTAGATGAATGCAAGCTGATTTCTGAGGGTAGATGACGTAACATGTTCTTGATTTTCACGGGACGTGTGACTATTGTTGGAGGTTTGTCGACAAGCTCTTCCTCTGGGAACTACACCTTGCCGTATACAACCATTCTTTAGGAGACCTTGTAATGTGGAAGGGCACAATCACTTAAAAAGGATGACTACGTTGAACAGCACTTTCTGGGTAGATTGCTCTGGTTATACAAATAGCTCCACCCCAATGTTCCGACTGATCGCAGTCTGTACAAATACTTAGATGGAACATAATTTAAAAAAAGCGCGGTGTCCGTTAGCTTGACGATGGAAGCTTTATTCCGTTTAATTTCACGTGCCAATTTTGTTGGTTGCACTAACACCTTGATTTTGGCCCAGATAAAACTAGGAAGTGCAATTTCCGGCACATTTGAGGGGCGTTTGCCTTTGAGGGAACCGGTTTTTGCTTTTTTTGAACTTCAGAGAACGTGTGCTTAAATGCACAGTATCAAGCACCGTGATGAAGTCTTCCAGCGGGTTTGGCACCGGTACCTTGAATACCACGCAATGACTTAGCTCAACCGTATGTACCTCCTGAGCTAGTCGCTGGAAAACCCAATGAATGGTAACAGTACATTCTTGTAAAAATGATGACCGCTGTCACACTGGAAATCCGCAAAAGGAAGCAAAAGGAACCTTGGGCCAAATGCCTTGGTTTCCCAAGCGTTCCCGAAAACGATGACTACTCAAGCTGATGCGAACCGAAATATATGTTGGCTTGCAGGCACAAGTTTGATAATCCTTCGCCTGAGTCAGAACACGTGGAACTCCAGGCGGTGTTATCGATAACACCGTTTTCTAAAGGATCAAAAGAAATAATCTTTTTTTAACTCGGTGTATGTTTGCGCAATTAGGAACACTCTGAAGCTGCGGAATGGATTTCCTTGATGTAGTGTATGGAATCGAATCTGACTACTCATGTTCATCCAAGTAGCATAAATCTCTTGTTATAGGGTTTGTTTTAAATCTAGCAACCGAAGTCTGTTGGGGATTCCGGTGATCCTCAAAAACTACGTGACTTCATAGTCATGAATTTTCTGGTTATTAACAATATTTTTGATGTCTAAAGAAGAAAGGCCAGGAATCCCTTAAATGTTCCCATTAGATGGGCCTTTAAGCAAATAGGATGCTATCAATATGTGTTCCCGAATTCGCCTACCGCACAGCACTAATGTATGGCAACAAGTACTCATCCAGAAGAAGGGACATCCTCAAACAGATCGATATTCCTGCATCTGACGTTGCAGTAACGTCTTGTGTCACTTTGAGGAACAATTATTGACCTTTGCTACGACGCTTAACGAATCCTTCCGATCTCAAATTGTCCAAATTGAGTGTCATTTACGGAATAACTAAGAACATCTGTTTACTAATCACACCGTCATTCAAACTGCCCCAAAACATCGGATTTTGATCGAGTGGTTTCAAGTGTAAGAGTGTTTCCTTCATAGATGCTAGGTGGTCCGTTGAATGACGCGTTTAAAAGGGCCTTGTCCCCGCAATCTCAAACGGTCAATACGCAACAGGATTTTAGTTAGAAGTTCACATCTTGACCTTACAATAATGTAAGATTACCAGGAACACAATTGCTTCGGTAGAATAAGAAGAATGGGGCTGTTCAGAGAGCGCGCCTAAACTCCCACTAAACGGACATACGGATTGCAAAACATGCACGTGAGTTCCACTGTGAACGGAACAAACCACACGACCAAGCGCCGGATCAAAAAAGAGCTAATGCGGCCTGTGTGGAAGATCAGGCACTTTGAGTATATAAAGGTGACAGTAGCAGCGCTTGAAATATAAGTTCTCGATTGTCATTATGATCATAACATTACTCAGACGCGAGGTAGAATGGGTGAACAAAAAACATTTTTTGGCGAGCCCCAGTCCACCCGGCTTGGCTAAGTACTTGGCGCTGAAAAGCTGGTCTTCGGCCAATAAATGTGATACCAAGCACCATTAGCCTTCAGAGTAACGTGGAAAAAGTGAAAATGATGAAATTTTGCGGTGAAATTTTGTGATGAAATTTTGTAGAAGAAGCGATCACGTTAATTCACCAGGCATGCTGACAAATGAATGAAATGTTAATTATCTTCTGTCCACAAAGTACGGGATCGATAAAATTCAAGTGAATGAGGAACAATCCTCAATATGTTCACAGTTGTCCTCTCTAGAATTTTATCACTCGTCGGAATGCGTTGATTATCCACCTATGAGTGATATGAATACATCCTATCCTGATTGTTACTGTACAGAGCAAGTATTTTGCAATCTGTCACCTTCCTCATTGTTCAGGTTTACTCTGTGACCTTCTCTGGTCCGATCCGAACCAGGATATCACAGGCTGGATAGAAAGCAATCGAAACGTGAGCTTTCACTTCGGAGTGGATGTGGTGAGCAAATTCCTCTCCCGGCACGATTTGGACTTAATTTGTCGTGCGCACGAAGTGGTCGAGGATGGCTACGAATTCTTCGGGCGACGTCAGCTGGTGACAATCTTTTCGGCACCAAATTATGGGGATGATTTCAATAACGCTGGAGGCATGATGAAAGTAGACGAGAACCTGACATGTTCATTCCAGGTAAGCTGTAGTTGGCGTGAAGTTAAATTAACTACAGACACATGTTGCTTGTTGAAATAGCTAGTTGACGAATCTGTTCCCATCTGACCGAGTTCAGTGTATAGCAGCACTTTTAAACGAAAAACCCGATAGATCCTATCAGCACGCGCTCAGACTTGAGTAATCCGAAAACAGACCAGTCCCTTGTGACGGCTATGTGCCGGAAACACTCAAACTGAAGCATTCCGATTCGCAGATGAGGTGATTCTGTTTAGTGTTTCTGTTGACATCGCTGGTTGTTTCGAAAGCAAAGAACTTCAATACACCTCATCCACTCGACTGTAGTCTGGTGTCCGACCTAATCTTTCGTTTCGCTTCCGAATGCACACTTATTTTTTGTGGATTCTACGAATGTTGACTCAAAAAGCCAAGTTCGAATGGGTATATATACCCGTGAGTGAATTATCAGCACGGAAATTGCAATCATATTAAGTAATCTGACGTAGAAATTTATAGCAGACATAAGGTTAAAAATATGTTGGATGTGAAGGCACTTATTAAGCGCGCAATCTTAGCCGCGAGCGATTTATGGCCAAGTTACTGTTGAAAAGTTACCGTTGGTTTACACCCATGAGTTTCACAGGAACTAGTAAGAGACATTTCTCAAGTGTTTTGTCTCCATCACTCACGGCAATATCCCACTGGTGGGACAAAATTGCAGTAAGATTAAGTAGGCGCAACAAGACTGGATCGTGAGAAAGATACAGAAAGGATGTCAGACAAAGCCAGGTGAAGTGAGAGCTTAGTGGCTGTGGTAAGTTTCAGTGAAAAGTCTGAGCGAGTGTTCTTGTGTTTGCTGACTAATCTTTGAAATGCCACCCTATCTAGACACATGATGCCTTTTCCAGGAAGCCGGAACAGTGGAACAAAAACATCCAATGTAGAAGGGTGCATGTGGTTGAGAAACTATCGTCGAAAAGGGAGTGGAAAATGGAACCACGCTTTTCGTGAAATACACTGATTTACAAATCAATTTGGTTTTCACGAGAGACTGAACCAAATTGACTTGCAAATCATGTATCGCCTTGGAACTGGTCAAATAAATAGGTTTAGTTTAGTTTCCACAAATGAAACTACTCACAAGGTTGCTGAAAACGCTTCGACAGCCCACGACCGGTTCCGCCCTTCTTGGGGCTTATCAGGTAGGCACAGTCTCCTAGTTTCCGTCAACCTTATGATCTAAGTGAACCCAACTTGCACTGTTTTCGAGAAATGCACTCATGTGCAAATCAATTTGGTTTTCACAAGAGACTCAACTGAATCTCTCGTTTATGATATTCTACAACTGAATGTGCGGCACACAGGCCGTCTCATGTTTCACTTGGCACGATATTCGAGATATTGCAGCATATTTTCATAAAGGTTTGGTTTAGCCTTTGGTGGGTAGCGGTACCCATGACTACGTCTAATATCCATATTATTGCGTACTAAAAAATTACTCGGTAACGAATCGGCTCGTGGTTTCTCTTTGGTACGACTGTGAAATTCAGACGAATGCCTTAGACGAGTTGTTCCTCTGAAACTGGCACCATATTTAGCCAAGCTGTATGTAGCCTGTAATTTCCATGATACCCAAGGATAGAGCGCCATAATCGGTGATGTTCCTATGGCTCTTCTAGTCCAGTGTTACAAAACTGTGCTGTTTCTCCAGAAGATAATTCTTCTACTTCGCAAATATAACGTCCGAGACCAAAGTCCACGACGAAATGGTATAGATTTCATCGAATGTTACTACCCCAACAACTGTGAGTATACCTGTCAACTGCAGAGTTCTGCATGTCAGAAGTTGTGTTCATGGGCCATGCGTAGGAGACAACTGCCCAAAAGAAACTCAGTTAGCAACTGATGAAATCCCTCTGAAGACCAGATATGTATCAGAGGTGGAAGACCAAATTTCACCAAACTTCCAATCACTCGGTTCTTCCAACAAAGTTAGCCAGGAATGCGCATCGGATTCAGATGTCGCCTACCAGTGAAAGAAAGAAGGTCTTCACTGAGGAGTTATTTATTAGAAAATGTCAACTAAACAGTTACAGAATATTGGACAGAGAGGCAAAACTCTCATGTGCATCTTGTTTACAAAAACTGAATATCCATCTTCTATTTGAACGCGTCTTTCTGAACTTTCCTGGATATTCATTGACTGTTGCTCAAATATAAACAAATGCTACAAAGCGACTTTATACATTTCGCAACAGATCTCCCTTTTCAAGAGACGCAAAGCGAATTTACAAGAAAACATACTAATCGCATGCCTCCCCCATCAGCAGTATCACCGTTACACCAGTAGCGATTGCTCGACATGTTCAATCGTAATATAGAGTGTTGACAGAGCTGTGCTGTTGTGGCGAGTCAACAGTCTCCCCCTATGGAGACTACAACCGAGGAACACGAATTTCAGTTCCTTTTTGAGTGATGCTCTCTAATAGTGAAGCAGAACTATTAAAAATCGATAGTTCACCGTGTTATTGAGCTTGACTTCAGTCCTTAAATTCGGGTTACTTGTTTCGTTTTAACGAAGTTAACAGAAAATTGCTCCATCAATTGCCTTTTTTAAATCCTCGAAAAAAACGTGAACCAGCTACAGATGCTTTTGTCTCAAGCGTTACTGTATCCAATTCAAATGTATTATACCTATCTCGTCCGAGTCAAATTGAAAAGCTGTTAGATCGATCGAAGAAGAAACTAGAACGAAACATTCTCCGCTGTATATGCATGCACTGTCTATCATGCTATCAGAATTTCCGTAGAGATCTTCAATAAGCTAGTTCGCTTGGGTTGGTGTGCTGAAATGTAGCAGTTGGACGTGAGCAGCACAGATGAATACGTCGTTTTGACCAGTCAGTCAACTGGCAGGCCTGAATATATCCACTGGTAGTACAGCAACGTGATTGTACTTGCGTCTGAGACTTCCAAAAAAGATACATTATATGAAATATTCCTGAACTTTCTGGTATGTTGCCAGTGTCGACAGACGTGTTCATAACCAAGGCATACTCAGTTTGTACGTTTTGTTCGTAGACAAAACAAGGGACGCATAGCCAGACCATAAGTTCCTCGGCGACTGACAATTATGCTAAGAGAGGATCTCTGTTCAGGAAGTTTACGTGCACCATGGCTATGCATGACTCTATCTACCTCCAAAGCGAAGGCCACTGTGCACCAGCCAATCCTGCATAGGCATATGACGTAGGAAAGTGTACTACAACTAAGTAAATGTTTACTGGTGGATAGGATGGCACGCATCGGAAATGAGGAAATACAAGAGTTCCGGGGCAAACTCGGATCGGATCTAGTTAGACAGATTAAGCGGCATACTGTAGAAACGATTAGAAAGGGTGAACCATTCAATGGTACAGCGCACTATGATTGTGTGCAAGTTCTCATGTCGTCTTTTGTGCTGTTTTTCCGAAGACGAACTAACCTCCATGACCAGGCGATTCTAATCTGAAACTGATCTTTATGGAAGTCTCCCTCCTATGGTGGAAGATCTACGAAGAGCGGAAAACCGGGCCTTGAATGGTCGTTGTTCTAAAGTCCCTTGAATGAAGAATGACTGCATCAGCTAGCTGGATAAGCTCCAGATCTGAAAATCGACTGGTTTAAACAAGTGCCTCTTCATTTTCTCTTAGATCCTCAAACCATCGGATAAGAAACTTCGATACATGTACATTCCGAAAACAGCCCCCACGAAGCCGCGAAGCTCGTGAGAATGGAGCAATCACCAATTTTTTATCTTGTAAATGCATCTCGCCACTTCGGGAATCCGACCAAAGATCACTTCGTGTACCTCCTAACCGTATGCAACATAAACAAACGCCACCTAACTATTTGACAAAACCCAAATCCCCATTTCCAATAACCTGTGATAAACCACTGATCTTTTTACACAATAAACGGAATAACAGTCCAGGTAGATCTGAGGACATTTAAAAAGGCTTTGGTGTAAAACTTCATGTGGGCTATAGACTAGGGGGGCCCTTTTATCAAAATACATATCGTTAAATAGTCCGGGGACGTATGGTATGACTGAGGACATCTTTTCGGTTCAGTCATCAAGCTTGAGAGCTGGACAATCACCAACGAATTCCTAGACTGTTTCTCCTTCAGAGGAAAGATAGTATCCGGGGCCGTTTGAACTCATCTTACAACAACTAACACGTCTGTTGCTCCAGATCAATAAGGTCGAACACACATCACTTTGTTTTGCAAAGAAAGTGAGTGAGCAGCCCGAAGTGAAGCCATCGAGCACTGGTAAGCATACGGGGGGGATTTCGTATTTCCGAAACAGCGCCTCAGAAAAGAGACCCTTTTTCGTACAAGAATGCATGGCTGGCTAATATAAGTTCGTGGCTAGATCGACAACATCTGCGGTGTTGCATCACTGGCCTACTGAAAACCAGGACATTTGAAGCTCTTCTTACCCCGTGAATCCAAACCCTTGCTACCCCATCATCCAGATGATATGGGTCGAAAATCCCAAATCTCAGCATCGCACCGAAACAGCGAAGTTCTGTAGGGTCCTATTTCTGAACATCAATACAATTCGCTTGAGTGAGTACATAGTCACAAGCTGATGGTGACTGTATACGCACAGTACTTCACGTGACTTTGGTCACTGAGTTGCTTGCTAGCTTGTCGGATTCAACCGAACTGCTCGGACTAAGGAACAAACCGGTGGCCGACATTATAATCCCTGCCTTATTCGTACAGCTTCATCTGTCAGGCCGATTAGGTTGCTCCAGGTTAGTAGCTAATGGAAGCATCTTCAAGAATCTAGAGCTTGGCACATATATTTTGTGGCAGATACAGAAAACTCCGCACGAAAAATTTGCCACACTGATATGAGCTGGCTGGAGGAAACGATTACAGCCATATAGGAAATAGGAAGAACAAAAGCCTCCAAGAACGCGACGAAAGATGTCAAAAAGGGCATCAAACTACTCCCACATGCATTGTGGAGTAAAGATTATTATTGCTACGCACGCTGGTTGACTTGTTTGACGAAAAGCTATTGGATGATGATTGCGATTCATCCCCAAACGCCGGAGTAAAAGCACGGAAAACTAGCTAGGACAGCAACGCGGAAGCTATCCCCCTGGGGATAGCTTCACTGCCAAACTGGCAAAGCCCACGCTTACCGTTTTCCTAGTTTATAAATTCAGTCAGTATTATATAAAACAACACATTTGCCGAGTAAATTCCTGGCGGGTAACTTAGCTATCAACATTGCGTTTGATTGGATGACAGGGTTGGGTGTGGCCTTGTCTGTTCGGATTGCTCAGTGAGCTGGGTAATGCTGTTCAGACTAATTATAGAAATCCCCCTCGTGGTCATCATACAAGTGAACTCTGCTGGGAAGATTCAGCATCAATTACGTTCAAAGTAGACAAACTTTACGATCACGCCATCCGGCTATTTTACGTAAAAGGGATGAGGTAGCACATGCCTCCACATTCGAATTGCCCATTTTAACCAAGAGCAACGTAATCTCGGGGGGGGGGGACACTTTCGACACCTGCCTACTGATCTCCATATCTCCCCACTATGGGAATGCTTAGAGCGAACATGTCGAAAGCATGTTCCATAGCCGGCAACTTCGTGACTGGAAAATATAGATACGGGGATTATCACAAAGGTGAACTCAAGAATTCCGACTCGTATTATCAAGAGCGAAAAGTGCTACGGACTGTGAGAACCACATTGCAGAACTTCTGGAAACAATATGGCCTGTCAGGCCTTTGGTTATTAAAGAAGGCAAGCCACGTCAACCGCGACTTCTTAACTTATGGAACGCGAGTCTAATCGTTTCTTTACCAGACCTGCCTGTATAAACTTTATATTTGTAGCGTGCTTCCCATGAAAATGCGAGTCCGAGTGGACTGCAATCTCCAGCTAGTCTTGAGAGCACTCCTCAGAGAAAGCATTGCATAACCACTGGAAGAGCGCTGCCAAATGGGTTTTGACGTAACTGTTTCAAAAGTAACACGTTCAATCATTTTAAATAGCCTGACTCAGGGTTGAACAACGGGGAAATTCGAATCGGTGTGTACCGTTGGTCCCTTGAACCTGGGTTTCAGTGCATCTACTTAGATAACCAAGAAAGCGTTGGACTTTTATGACAATTAAGTATTTGCTTCTCATTTTGAAATGTAATAACCCAAGGAGCATACACCCAAAACGTTCTACGTCAACCTGCGTTACGAATCACGGGACCTTAGAGGCTTGTAACATTCTCAAATACGCGGCAGTCATGATCAACAGTGTTCAGCTTGATCTTCAAGCGGACTGCCTGGCTGTGGTTAGGCTGGGAAGGGACAAAGCCAAAATTTTCCGCACCTCTAACGGAGTATAGGGTTGTTGCCAGTTTATCCAATAGTGAGGATCACGAGATCAGCAAAGTATGGTGCAGTTGGAAGAAAGTCAACTGCGAGACCAAAATTCTATACTGTCACACAACACAGCAAGCTTGTAGTTAGTGGAAACTGTGCCGTTTTTTGGGTGGAATTTTTCGGCAAACTAAAAAACCAGCCTTCAACGTGAATATTCCTTCCCTTGGTCTGAAAACAGGTAGGTCAGCTACTCGACAATGTTGGTGAAGTAAGCACCACGCCCCATTATTTATCCGGGCAAAGAACTGCATCACACCGTCTGCTCCATGAAAGATTCCTGGAACTGTTCCCAAAATTCAAGTACTGATCAGCCCGTTACGCTTTGAAGCTCCAGACGTATCTCAGAAAAGGGATAATTAATGTTGCACACTCAGTCCAACCGCCAAGTACCGGAAATGACGTATTCCGGACATATTCGTTTATACAATAATAACGCTGCTTCCTGAACCTCCTCAGCCGCAAATATCTGTAGGGAGCATCTGGTGGCGGATGATACAACGGATAGTCAGCTTCGGAGCTCGGTTTTAGGGATGTTTGAAATAGAAGTGCATGAGCGTTACGCGGAAAAAAATATTTCGTTACCTACAGGTGAACCTCTCACTAAATTAACCGCAGCGAGTTAATCAAAACTGTACTATCTCCACATGGAGTAGGTCACACAAAAAACAGTGTTCCATCTACAAACAGTTACCCGGAGTACAATCAACCGGTGAGGTGAAGACAACCCTGCCAAATATACACCGGGGACGATCATTGTTGCTGGATATGGGAACACTAGTTATGCTTTTAAAAAAACATCCATCTGACAAGATCATATGATATTGTATAGACTAGTCTCAATACTCCGGAGCAAGAAAGTTTCATAATGACCAATAGTTGCGTAAAATGCCAACCCATAGGAAGCGCAGAAAATAGAGCGGAAAAAACTGGCTGCTTATTGCCAGAAACTTTATGGTCAAAATTACCTTCATAATCATAAAAAACATGGTCACCAAAAAGAAACTGCTTTGAGAAGAAAGAGGGCCATAAAAATCTGAACGAATGTTGACATCTGAACGTGGAAAGATTAGAATTACCCAAACTATTAGGGCTAAATGCGACCAGCGTGGTTCAATAAGATACTGAAGAGCTGTCGAATTCTCCAAAATGACGCAACAGTACTTGGTCCCAGTTCGACTGCTCACGTGATAGCTTCTCTCTAGACGGGGACGAACTTCCCTGCCGTTTTAACAGCCTAATCAGCTGAATAGTGAACTGACGACGGAAGTAGTTTCGGTTGTTCGTGTCCAAGAGGATATCCTCAAGTCCACGAAAATTCCGCGCATGCCAAAGTGTGAGTAGTGGACGTTTGTGACGCATTGATATGGAACTATCCCTAGCCACATGCCACGTGATTCGAAGGGTAAATAGGCGTGTGACGAAGTCATACAACATTTGGTCTAATCCATTGGCGTCCCGAATCAGCTGTAACTGAGAGTCGGACATGTTACGACGAACGTGGTAGGCGTGGGAAAGACGTTCGGAAGATTCATTGGCGACGAAAAGACGGTTGAAAGTAATATGAAGTGAGCGCTGGTACAAATACTGTGTATAGGCAAGATAGTCAGAAAGACCAAATGTTCGAAGAAAAGTTGCAAGGTTATATTTGGCACTGTTTAGAAGAGCGCGCTGCGGTACAGTTGCCTGGAATGGACTGCGAGGCATGTTCCATTCTAGCAAGTGCCTATAGCAACCGAGACTGCGGAGATTGGCCAACATCCGTGTTTGTCGGTTGAGTGCCAGGTTGTACTTACACTTTACAAAAGTATCCAAATCCACACCGGTCCATGTCGGATGTCCGCGAAACCAAACTTGAGTAGAATTGCCACTAAACTCGGGTAACGTGTAGCAGGGACGATATGCCCGGTTATCTGGAGGTCTACCGCCACAATGCAGGTTGGCTCCATGCCAAGTCGCACCACGTCGCACATGAAGCCACTCGCTGAGGAATCGATCGACGGGGTTTCTTAGTAGAGTGAAGTAAATGAACCTGAAACGAACATAACGGCATAAAGTTTACATAAACGTGGGACGTCTTTTCAAGAAAATCCATGGGGATGGAGTTCACAAAGATGCTTCCTATAAAACCAATCGTATTGAGCGATCCTGTGATCACTTGTATCACCTTGACATTTAAAAAGGTGCTGATGAAATTCCCCAGCCAAGAGAAAAACCAAGAACCCACACTTTATAAAACCAGTAAAGGTGATACAGCTTTGGTTTTGATGGGGTGACAGCCACAATTCCGATGCGTCGTCGCCCGATCCACGTGAAACAGTGGGAAACCCAGCTTGCAGCTTCCAACAGAGCACCAGTAGAGCAGGTGCAATGGTTGTCACACGACGGTTAGCATCGTTTGATGAAGGTTGCAGTGGCTACGGCATGCATTAGAGCCAACAACATCAGTGTCGCCAATAGTGCTTTATTGGCGTGCAGACACAAAGTTTATTTAATTACGATTAAAGATAAATTGAAAAAAGATGGATGAGGACGGACCTGTTGTTGGCTTCATGAAATCATTTTGAGGTGTCTACACCTCCAAACGCTGGTTTAGAAAATCTGGAAAGAACCCGACGGCAGGAGTACCATTGACATCGATTGGCCGCCATCCTATGAAATACCTCCAACCAAGCGCAGGGGGAAGGGTATCGAAGACATCATCCTAGAAAAATGAGTGCACCAACAACACCAAAACACCAAATAATAGGTTTCACAGGGTTCTGCAACGTCAAACATTGTCCTCCTCGTGGTTCGCACCACTCTTAAGGTGACACAGAGAACTGTACTCACGCTGGTAGATGAGGTTTCTGCATTTGTAGAACCTGGCGGAGAAAACGAAGCTGCTGGCACTGACTGTATCCCGTGCAAGGCACATACTTAAAGATGGTATTATGGTGTTCCATGTTTACCTTCAAAGATGAGGATGATATCGTTTGTGTACTCCAGGTCAACAAGGCTCCTACCAGCAATCATCTGGAAACCGGGGGTTCGAAGGTCTTGTAGCGTCCGCCGTATCATTTAATCGATGATGAAGTTGAACAGAAATCAAGAATGAACATCGTTACCGGATACAAGTTCGTGCAGGGAAGCTTCTAGAAAGCCCACCATACATTCCCACACGCCCAGAAGTACGGGAATATGAAAACGGCTCTTATCCACAAACTTCTGCGGCATTCCCCTGCAGAGCGAATATAATTAGAAGTTCATCGACAGAATCACTCGTACCTCTGAAGTCACAGAACACAATAAGTAAGGTATGCAGAGCCCATCACCATATGGGAGAAATGTGACTTACCGCCTTTGCACTATCGTTCCATCCAGCTCGGTCAGTTTGTCTTGTACACATTCTGTGTATTCGGTTAGGTCTGCGTGAAGACCACAAATCCAACCTGTTGAAAACCTAAACAAACAGGCAATAAGTGCATATGGAATTTAGGGAATAGATATAACAACAAATCCTAGCAGGAAGATGAAGGAAAATAGAATCAATCAGAGCAAGCATTCATAAATGTATTCGCGATCACCGCACTCCAAAGCCAGTAACAAAACCGACACGTACACGCACAACTACTAGGACAACCTACCGACTGACGATCCATGTGTTTCCCAACTTTGTGCGACATTCACAGCGGCGAAAATGCGGTGTGCACAAACAAGACCGATTACGAAGTCCGTCCTTGACTAGTCGACGCTCAACCAGCGATCCACCAGTTTTCTGGATGTGCAAAAAGACCAGAACGCTTTGTTGGACGGATGAATGAAGTGGGTGAACTATAACGGTCGTGTCATTATTCGCCTTTTGTGTAGCAGCCAAAAAGAAATGAATCCCATTATAAGATATCGGATAAGAAACAACTGTCTCACGCAGTGCGTAATACAGAAAGAGCAACATAAAAACCGACAAGCCAAGAAGAAAATAATATTTCCTGCGTAACTGGCATGACGATTGACAGCCGATACGACACAATCCCATGTCATTCGTTATCCCATTATGATAGGATATTTGTGACGGCCACTCGACCGAAGGCAAAGCAACGGATGCTAAAATAAACAGAAGATGAAGATATAAGCACAGGGTGGGTCTTCCTCCGAAAAAACTACCCAGACACTTAGTAGCTGGATGGTAGAAAAACCCATACAGAAAGGTAACAAGTGCATTACAACAGCCTATCCGGTTGTCCGGGGAGATAACAGTGTTCAGGCTAGAGACGCCTGAGAAATTTCAGTAGTTTAAGTCGGTGCGTTGAGATGGGCTACAACGGTCGGTGGTTTGTTGAAATCGGGTCTCCTAACATTGGTTTCCGTCCTTGGGCGTAATTACAGGCGGATGCAGTTAATAAACTTAAGACCTCATCTGACCGATGCATTTTGTGGCTCACGAAGGTCAAGAATTAAGCAGAAAATTCTGCATTTTTCAAGAATGGCGTGCTACCAAGTACCAACCCGCCATCTCGGATACGAACATTTTATCCACGGTGAGGATATCGGCACGACTGTTCGAGCGACGGAAGTAAGACGTCTTCAGAGCATCGACAATCGTTGTCTCATAATCATACCTCATATAGGAAGGTGTCTGTGGATTCGTAACGTAGCAATTAGAAAGCGAGTGTTCAGTTATGCAATGGGGATTTTCATTGAGGGATATGTCCAATATCGGGCTATTTATTGCCGAAACATTTGCCGAAGAGTGCCCAACTTTTGACATAACAGGGGGAATGGAGAGATCACGAAATGTCTGGGGCCTGTCGGTAAGAAACAGCCTTTCAGAATAGGAACCGTGTGATCCTCACTGCGCTTGGTTGGGGACGCTGGAGAATATGGCTGTTAATCGATGTTGATAGCGTTCTTGTCGGACTTTGTGTTCAAACTGCCTGAATGGGCGTCTGGGGCGTAGACATTTCGGAATGATTGTAATAGGCTAGCAGTGAGTTCTTTCCCCGTCCGTTTTTGTTCATTTCTGGAACGACCATCTCGAATAAAGAAGAACGCTTCAAACGGTGGGCCCAATACTTCGAAAAACTGCCGTGGCCACCAGCTGGCACTCATCTAGAGCCCACAGGAAAAATAGAGCCCTGGGTGGTGAAGGTGGAACCACCTGCGGCCTCTGAGGTTTACAACTGCATATGTTCCCTTAAGCGCCACCGAGCCCCTGGTCCGGACGATCTCCCATCCACATTGTCCAAAGATGGGGTGAAGTCCCCAGCCAGCGCTTGTCCGATCTGTTTGCTTGCATTTGGGAAAAGGAGTCTGTCCCAGGCAACTGGAGAGAGTCGGTGGTAGTGCTCGTTTGCAAAAGGGGTTCGTAATGAGTGTGGCAACCACACGGGGATCAGCTTGACCCCGATGGTGATGAGACTGTTGGCGTCATTTGTGCTTCGTGGCCTTACGGTGGTGAGACGGTAGCTGGCACTCATCTAGAGCCCACAGGAAAAATAGAGCCCTGGGTGGTGAAGGTGGAACCACCTGCGGCCTCTGAGGTTTACAACTGCATATGTTCCCTTAAGCGCCACCGAGCCCCTGGTCCGGACGATCTCCCATCCACATTGTCCAAAGATGGGGTGAAGTCCCCAGCCAGCGCTTGTCCGATCTGTTTGCTTGCATTTGGGAAAAGGAGTCTGTCCCAGGCAACTGGAGAGAGTCGGTGGTAGTGCTCGTTTGCAAAAGGGGTTCGTAATGAGTGTGGCAACCACACGGGGATCAGCTTGACCCCGATGGTGATGAGACTGTTGGCGTCATTTGTGCTTCGTGGCCTTACGGTGGTTCGTGAGACGGTGACTCGAGAGCAGCAAGCGGGATTCCGACCTGGTAGGGGTTGCGTTGATCAAAGCTTCACAATTCGTCAGGTGCTAGAACAACGCTATACGTATAAGCGACCCACAACTCTTGTGTTCCTGGATTTCCAAGGCACTCTTGACTCGGTTGACCGGTCTGTTTTGTTTGACATGCTCACCCACCGAGGAATGCCCCGGAAGTTCGTGAATATATGCTCTTAGTATTCTCAAACTTGCGGACATGTGGGAGTATACGACGAGTTCTCCAAAAGCTTCCTTATACAAAGTGGTGTCCGTCAGGGATGCCCACTCTCCCCATTCCTGTTTAACTTTGTGATCGATGTAATCATGAGACGAACGCTGGAATGTCTCCAAAACCCCGGTGTTCAAATAGTCTGTATCGAAAACCTTGTCGATCTGGAATACGCAGACGACATCGTCCTAATCCTCGAAGAGAAGGATAAGACGCAGGTGTTTTTGGATGAAGTGATGAAGTCACCCCGTCCTTTGGTACGCACTTTGCATCCGCAATGTGTAAGGTCATGCTCCTGGACATGCAGTCACTGAACACGCCACTTACAATCCAGGGGAAGCACTCAAAGTTGTGGAACGATTTACATATCTTGTATTAGTTTTGAATGTAGCGTGACGGATGAGATCAATGCACGAATCTGCAAGGTTCGGGTCGCGTTTGTTAATTTGAGACACCTACGGCGTCAAAGTGGTGTACCCCTGAATATCAAGGGGCATCTGTATCAAGCTACAGTGCGGGCTGTTTTGTTGTATGACCGAGATTTGACCTGTTCGAGCAGCGGGGCTGAGACGTCTCCAGGTGTTCGATAATCGTTGTCTCAGAAGGAAGCAGAAAGCACACGAAGGAAGCACGAGGGCTGGGATACTGCCAGGTTGCCCAAGCTTCGACAGGGGAAGTCGAGAGGCAGAGGTTGGGTTCGAACCATGGACCTTCTAGTCAGTCATTTCGCGTTCTAACCACTTGACCCGTCTCGCTCCAGAACCATAGTTCGTATGGGTTGGTGTCGGCGTATCTGTAACGAGGCGATGGGAAAGCGCGTTTTCGGTTGTGCAACGGGTGTCCAGCACCAGAAGCTGCGGTGGTTGGGACATGTGTTGCGTATGCCGAACCATCGGCTGCCGAAAAGAGTGCTGCTTTCCACACCCAACTCAGAGTGGCGGAAGCAGAAAGTTGGCCAACCCTTGACCCGGCAGAGCGGTATGAAAGAAATAACGAAACGTTTGGGTGCTGTCGGTGCTACTCGCCTTCCAATATGGGGAACGCGTGATCCTCACCGCGCCTGGTTGGAGACGCTGCAAAATATGGCTGCCAACCGATGTCAGTGGCGATCTTGTTGTCAGTTTCTATCCAGATTACCTGAATGAGTGTTTGGAGGTGTAGGCACCTCGGAATGGTTGTAGTAAGCCAGCACTAAATCCCTTCCCTATCCGCCTCTATTATTTTCTTCACAATAAGGCTTTCAATTAAATCATGGTTGTACGGCAGCGACGCATCGGTGTTGAACACTGATGTCGTGCTGTCGATGATGATGATTTGTTCATTTCTTCACAACAAGGCTTCCAACTAAAGCACGGTTGTACGACAGTGAAGCATCAGTGTTGGATACTGGTAGAGAAAGAGGGTGAGATGGGAAATTATTTACCATTTGGACAATCCACTCAGAATGGTGAACATACAGTGCCACGTTCTTAGTAAGAGAACGTTAAGCTTGGAAACGTGGAACAGTAGGCTATCGGCTGAATTTCGTGAGAATTCGGAAACTCGCATGACGGAGACTGATTTCTGGAAGGAGCTGGGTACATACGGAAGGCTACAAATGGTCGGATTCCTGTTCACCGGATGATAAGGCATACAGGTAAAGCCCAATGGCATGGAGAGTGCATGGAATACAGTCTAGAATAAATGGACATCCACACATACCAAGGGCATGTGTATACAAACTGGCCATTGTAACTTTAGCATTGGCAGCTGAACGTACTTCACGCACAGAACGTGACGTCGGTGGTAGATGATGCTCCGTTGAACTCTTAGCGCCAAGCACCTGACTTGGCTGGAGGTGGTGTCCGAGAGCGGTTGCCTCCGACATTGACCAGCAGGCTCATAAGGTTGGGATCGTTGGATATTGAAGACCCTCTATACAAATGCATGTAGTGCTGACAAGAAGAAGGCTAAAGTAAAAGCCCAGTCATAGCAGTCACAAGGATCACGGTCGGTAAATTATGCCTCCTGGAATATACGTTCAACTGTAGCGCCCTTTCGGTGCCTAGCTGCCATGCCACCCGAAGGAAGCACGATGGCTGGGATACTATCAGGGTGTCCAAGCCTAGACAGGGGAAGTCGAGAGGCAGAGCTCGGGTTCGACCCACGGAGCTTCCGGTCAGTAAATTCGCGCTCTAACCACTTGGTCCATCTCGCCCCCCTGATGCTGATCTGTATCGAGCATTCTGGGGTGTCTACACCTACAAGCACTCAATCAGAAAACATGGAAAGAAACTAACAGCACGATGTCCATTCCTTACAATGTCTTCAGCTAAGCGCACGAGGGATCATGGGGATTCCATCCTAGAAGGAATACTGCATCAAAATCGTTCAGCTGTAGCACCCCTTCTGTGCCTAACTGCCATGGCACCCGAAAGGAAGTACGAAGTATGGGATACTACCAGGTTGCCCAAGCGTAGACAGGGAAAGTCGAGAGACAGAGGCCGGGTCAACCCATGGACTTTCCCCGTACTGCACCGACAACAACCAAGCTCTTCGTTATCTCTTCCATACCCTTATGCTAAGTTGTCCATCTCGCCATTGTGAAGGAGGCACGGAGAACAACAATCACCTCGGTAGATGGCGTTTCGGCATACGTAGCAAAAGCCAGAGCAATAGTAGTCGATGGTGCTGAACGTTCTCCGCGATTGAAGTACCTGTTGCACAACCAAAAATCCGTTTTATAATCATCTCATTATTATTCCGTTGACGGCTGAAAACCAGCAACGCTTCAGGGGCATCGGTAGTCAAAAACCTGAAGACGTCGCGCATCATCTGCTCACAGAGGCTGTCTCACATACAACAACACAACCCTTATTGTAGCCTGGTATACGTGACCCCTAAAACCCAGTGATATTCCGCTTTGACGCCATAAGTGAAGTGAATTAGCAAACATTTTCCAGGCCTTTGAGGTCCTTGAACTAACCTTATCTGAAACATTTCCGTCAGAACTAATACGACTACCGGGGTATGTAAAATACTCCACAACCTTCAGTGATCCTCCTTGAACTGGAAGGAGTATGTCCTAAACTGCAAGTTTAGAAGCATGACATACCAAAACATGGTATTACGGTAGATAGTTTGATCAACAGGGACCGTGCTTCGCCTATGTCTTCTAAGACGAAGGCGGTGTCGTTTGCATACTCCAGATCGACAAAGTTCTCACCAGCAACACCGAGGTTTTGAAGGAATTCAAGCGTCCATTAATTCGTCAATGACGAAGTTAAACGAGAGCGGAGAGAGTTGACATTTTCGTTGGACACCACGTTTTGTAGAGCACCTTGTGGAGCTCATTCTCACACGCCAGAAGTGTGTGAATATACGGGCTGCATTATGTTAAAAAAAACTCCTGCGGATTACCCTGTCGAACAAGTGCGGTTGAAAGCACTGATTGATCAACAGATTCGAAGGCGCCCTTAAGTCAAGGAACTCCAAGATTGTGGGTTTTCTCTTCAGGGGGCGTTGTTTTAAAACCTGACGGGGTGTGAAGATGTGATCAACGAATCCTCTACCTGGCCGAAATCCCGCCTGGTGCTCACCAGTCAAGATTTTCCGTGTCACCGTAAGACGACGAAGAATCAACAACGCCAGAAGCTTTCTTACAACTGGGATTAAACCGATACCTTTGTGTTTACTACATCCACTGCGAGCACCCTCTTTGAAAATGGGCATTATTATCTACTCACCCCAGCTGTCTGGTAGGGTTTTTTTCTCCCAGATAGACCGAGCGTACGAGCAAGAACCACCTGTTGACCCGCTTGCCTCAGTGTGCGAACAATAAACGCAGATAATTGCACAAGCTCTCGGGGTTTGAAAAAAATTCGATGTGGTTAAGGTTGTTAGTGAAGTTGGATGTAAAGAAGCTGCAACTGAATGTGATGCATGGGGGACAAAGCGACCACACCTAGTGCTGGGACCTGCGGAGATTATTCAAATTTGGGTTGGGTTGGGTGGAGAAGTAGCTAAGATTCGGACAAAATAAT